GGCTTTATTCATGCAAACCTTTATTTTTAGTACCATTCACTGAGTTTTGTACTCACCCCTCTATATATATGTAGGTGATGAGCAGGACGGCGGCGACGCCTAGATCGTTTGGATGCTTGTTTTGGATTTGTACTTATGTCGGCTTTACTTTTGTATTTACGTCGGCGGTGCCCTGTTTTGCATGTCGGCAAATCTTGAAAATCATGCTTCTTGACTTGTATTAGCTGTACTTTTGTTTATGTCGGCTCGAGAAGCCTTTTGATCAAGATGTAACATGTATTTTTACGCTGTTGTATTCAAGTTGTAAAGTTATCTGGAATGTTTGGCATTGCTTTGATCTACGCACAGCTCTTATGGACCACTTGTATTTGATTTAATTGCTTCCGCATTGTGAGCCCCCTATATCCATACTCTGATTGTGTTAAGTTTTTGGAAAAGTTGGCCTTCGGTAATTACGGATTACTGGCCATCACGGCATCAAACTACTAGGGGCGGTTTGGGGTCGTGACAGAAAGATTAGCCAAAAAGGGGAGGAACGGTAAGGCCTAAGTTTGCACCCGAAGGTGAATTGGGAATCACAGTAGTTTCACAATGAAAGTTATTTCATGGAATGTTAGAGGATTGGGTAAGTCTGAGAAAAAACAAAGAATTAGGAATTTCATAAAGGAAAAAAAAGTGGATATGATGCTGATTCAAGAAACGTAAAAGACATGTGTTAATGAGATTTTTGTCAGATCTCTATGGCCAGAAGATGAACTGGGATACATGGAGGTTGATGCAGATGAGAGTGCAGGGGGTTTGTTATGTATGTGGAAACCTCATGTTTTCCAGATTAAAGATTGTTGCTGCTCAAGGAATTTTATCTTGCTATCAGGTTTGGTGTATCATAGACTTGAGTGTGTCATCGGTAATGTATATGCACCTAATGATAGTGGAGATAGAAGTCATCTTTGGTTGGTCCATTCTAATTTAAAAGCATCTTATCCAAAACCTTGGTGTTTAAGGGGGATTTCAATGAAATTAAATCTATAGGGAAAAGGAAAGGGTGTGTAAGAAGTGATTGGGGGATGTGGGAGTTTAATGAGTTCGCCAATAATCTTCAATTGATTGATGTTCCTATGTGTGGTAGGAAGTATACTCGAAGTAATTGACATTCAGGTGTAGGTTGGAGTCGATTGGATAGATTTTTATTAAATCCGGAGTCACTAGAGTGGTTTAACTTTAAGGTTTGGGGCCTACCTAGAATTTTGTCTGATCATTGCCCAATCTTCTTGAAGGAAGATGGGCGGGATTGGGGTACCAAACCATTCAGATTTATAAATGCTTGGGTGTCACATCCTAGTTTTATGAATGTAGTTAAACAGGCTTGGAATGATACACTAGTGGAGGGATGGGCTGGATTCAGATTGATGGTCAAACTGAGATCACTTAAGCAGGCCTTGAAGATATGGAATGTGGAGGTATTTGGTCATGTGGAGTCCAAACTTAAAGCAGCTGAAGATGAGTTACGTGCCTGGGACGTCATTGCTTAAGGGAGAAAGCTTCTAGAAGATGAAGTTAGAAAAAGAATTGAGGTCAGAAATGAAGTATGGAAGCTTAGGAAAAGGCTAGAGTGGATCTGGATGCAAAAATCCAGATTGAATTAGGCCTTAAAAGGGGATAAAAATATTAGGTTCTTTCATATTATGGCCTCTAGAAGACAAAGTAGGAATTTTTTTGACTCATTAAAGATTAATGATACCCTTTATGAGGAACCTGTGGAGTTGAAACAAGCAATGTGGGCTCACTTTAAAGATTTGTTTACTGAAGGGTGGCAGATTAGACCAAGATTAGGGGGTGAGTTTAGATGTATTGAACAATGTCAGCTCCAGAATTGCTTGGTAAAAGATTTTCCAAAAGAAGAGGTATGGGCTGCAATCAAGGAATGTGATGGTACTAAAGCCCCAGGTCCGGATGGGTTTAATATGACTTGTATTCAAAAGATACGGTTCATCCCTTGCTTCGCCGATGTTATGATACTTGACTGATGAATACGGTTCATCCCTTGCTATGCCGATGTTGTGATACTTGAATGATGAATACGGTTCATTCCTTGCTGCGCCGATGTTGTGATACTGGATGATGAATACGGTTCATCCCTCGTTTTGCCTATGTCAGTAAACATCTTTGGATACTTGTAATACTTGATTGATGAATACGGTTCATTCCTCGTCTTGCTAAAGTTTGATGTGTTTCGTTTTGAAGGACCTCGGCTATATTCATGCAAAACCTTTATTATTAGTACCCTTCACTGAGTATTTGTACTCACCCCTCTATATATATGTAGGTGATGAGCAGGACGGCGGCGATGCCTAAATCGTTTTGGATGCTTGTTTTGGATTCGTACTTATGTCGGCTTTGCTTTTGTATTTACGTTGGTGATGCCCTGCTTTGCATGTCGGCAAATCTTGAAAATCATGCTTCTTGACTTGTATTAGCTGTATTTTGTATATGTCGGCTCGAGAAGCCTTTTGATCAAGATGTAACATGTATTTTACCTTGTTGTATTCAAGTTGTAAAGTTAATTGGAAATGTTTGGCATTTCATTTGTTCTATGCACGGCTCTTATGGACCACTTGTATTTGATTCATTGCTTCCGCATTTGTGAGCCCCCTATATCCATACTCTGATTGTGTTAAGTTTTTGAAAAGTTGGCCTTCGGTAATTACGGATTACTGGCCATCACGACACCAAACTAGTAGGGGCGGTTTGGGGTCGTGACAAATTAAGTCTACCAAACACATTAAAACTAACTCTATCGAATGTAATAACCACTAAAATTCTCATGTAAGCCTCTTAAAGTTCTAATAAAATGAAAAGTTGGCAATAGTATTTCTATGGGTTCTAATGATTATTAATAAATTAAAATATATTAATCAACATTGATTTCTTGCAAGTCCCATATCATCTTGGCTGCATTGCATAATTTAGATGTTAAGTAAGGCTCAAGTAAAATGAAAACTTAACTTCACAACGTCCCAAGTATGCTTCATGTATTTTTCAATTTGTCATTATTATTTCTATCACGTCATTGCAAAAATAGTTATAATATAATTGATGAGTTTTAAAAAAAATGCAACAAATGAAACTAAACTATACTTGATGAGTTTGGTTGTTTCATTTTGATGAGAATAATCTATTTAGTTCGTGTTTGGATTATTTAAAAAGTTGATGTTGGGTATCACTTTCTATTTTTTTGGTGTATTTTTATGACATCACAAAGACTTGTTCAATGCCGAGTAGTTATTTTATATATGTTTTAATTTCTCTCAAATGATGATTTGCAAGTTGCAACTTCTTTTTTGTCATTCTTTATTTTTCTTGATGCAAGACACAATAGTCTTTAAAGAACGATGCAAAGTATCAAAGGAAAATGTTTGACCAGGCTGTTCAGATAGTTCCCTCGGGTCGAGTTTTAGTGTATTCTACGTAAGTGCACATTTTTTAAAATTAATATTTTTTTGTTGATTATAATATTTTGTAATGGCACCCAATAGGTGCAATCTGGAAAGAAAAAAAAAACTATACATCAATTTTTTTTCAAAGGTCTTTAGAAAATCTAAAAGATGGTCCAAAGATAGAGAACCGGCCATACAAAATAGATAAAAACTATGTAGCACGGACGTATGATACAACATGGACAGCACACATTGATTTACAAAAAAGGCAGGACACAACATGCTTAGGACACGTTTGAAATTATACTTCTACCAGTTTATTATATGTCATACAAATATGTTACTCAATAATTGTCAGTTACCCTTCTATTCAACCTCCCATTCCAATGAGAGGTAGGGTAAATATCTTGGTTGTAGGTTGGGAATATTTGAAAGGTAGGTAAGGTGGAAAAGATGATATTTGAATAGAAGGAAGGGACTATTATTAAAGGTGGTGAGATTAGATTGTTGGTTTAGGAGTGGTAAAATGCATGAAGAGAAGAAGAGAGGGGAGGGGTGTCCCTTGATATTAGGTGCCAAAGGTGAATTTGTCATTGGGTTGACAAACTCTTTGATCAATATGATGTCCTCCTTTCTTCATTATACCTCCTTTTCTAAGGTCTGGTTGACCAACTCATAAGCTAGTTGATAATCTTGGTTGACCAGGGTTGAGGCTTGATGATTCAATTGATTTTCTTCAATCTAAATCATCTCTCCAAGTGTGAAGTAAGTTTGGTCTTCTATATGTTGTTTTGTCAAGTTATATATTCAAATGTTAATCTTTCACAATTGTATTTAACTCAATTTCACATTCAAGATTAATGTCATTGATCGAGTACTATTTCAAACATTCAACTAAGCATTCATCTCTTTCTTTCAAGATATAGGTTGTAAAATATAGTTCATTTATTGAATACAAACATAAACATTAAAGAAGGTAAGATATAGTTTAAATCTACTGATAGAAGACAAGATGGTGTAAGATTTGTTTGGGAAGCTTGGCATTGGACTCATGAACTGCAAAGCAGGATGTGTAGCGAACAAGGAACACTATAACATTTTCTTAATTTAGTGACATTTGAAAGTGCCACAAAATTATTGGTTTAATGACATTTTTTAGTCTTGTGGCATTTTGAACAAGTGCCATTTGTATCCGTGCCACGGTAGATACTTGCAAGTGCCACTACACCATCATGGCTAAAAACTTTCAATGACATTTTGATGTCATGGTAGATATTATTTGTGGCACTATCAAGCGCCATTAAAAAAAGAGTTAGTGACACTTATAAGTGTCATTACACCATCAAGACTAAAACCTTTCAGTGACACTTTAATGTCATGATAGGCACGATTCGTGACGATAATTCGTTGTAGAACAATTTGATCCGCTCTTGCGGAGACTCGAATCGCCAACCTCCCGTACCATAAACCTTATACACCACACTCTTCCCACTACACCTCTATAGCACCGCATGATTATATATGCAACATATATTATTTATATAGTGCATACATTCATATTAATATAAAAGTATATGTATAAACATAATTATTTTATTGAACATAATTTATGTAAAATAAACTATTTACTAGCAAAATAAAAAAAAAAACCACTTTTGGCTACTAATTATTTTTTAGTCACTAAAAAACTTAACTTTTGCCAACCAAAATCAGATTTGGTCGCCGAAGATGCACTTTCAGCGACTAAAATTTTGGTTGCCAAAAAATTTAATTCCTGCCTTAGGATTTTAGTTCTCTCACGCTAAAAATGACCACTTTTGGTGACTAAACTTATTTTTTAGTCGCCAATTGTAGACTTTTGGCTACTAAAACTTTTTTTGGCACCAAAAAGCTTCACTTTTGGCTACTAAAATTTTTTTAGTCGGTAAAACCCATATAATCAGCGACCAAACTTATTTTTAGTCACCAATTGTAGACTTTTGGCTACTAAAATTGTTTAGTCACCAAAAAGCTTTACTTTTGGCAACTAATGCTGTTTTGGTCGCTGAAAGCTATACTTTCAGCGACCAAATTTTTTTTGGTCAGGAAATTTAGTCGCCGAATGTGCTTTTTCCTGTAGTGTATATTGAGTTTCATTTATTTATTTTTAATCATTTACTACATTTTAAAAATTTAGAAAATATATTGGCATTTTTTGTTTTTTTTCAAAAATGCCATTATAAGCTTGGAAAGTTTTTGGCTTAGTGGCATTTCTCAAAATGCTATAAAATATTTATTTATGACACTTTTCACCTAAGTGCCATAAAAAGTAATTTGCACCTACCTAGTGTCCTGACATTTTTTAAAAACTGTCATTGCGACTAAAGTTTAGTGGCATCTGTTGGTAAATATCACGAACATAATTTTTTGTGTCATTATTTTATAAAATGCCATGAAATTGATATGACATTTCTTTATTGAAATGCCACTAGAGCCTTATATGTTTGTGGTTCTGTGGCATTTTTCTAAAACATTTAATGTCAATTTTTATTTTTGTGGCATTTTCTAAAAACATGCTACTACTGTAGTGTCACTAAAGTATGAATTTGTTGTAGTGGCATTTTTGTTGTAGTGAAGTGACATTTTTTTTTAATTGAAATGCCACTAGAGCCTTATATGTTTGTGGCTCTATGACATTTTTCTAAAAAAATGCCACCAAATATTCTTTTTGTGACATTTTTTAAGAACATGCCACTAGTATGGTGTCACTAAAATGTGTTTTTGTTGTAGTGGAATCATGCATTGGGTAAAGAAGTTTTTGGTTTTCTGAGCTACAAAACAATGTAAACAATGTATTTATGTGCATCTCAACATTACATGAATAGTATTTGGTAGGTGGTTATCATCATTTCAATTTATTTCCATAAACATGTTGTGCCTTGTTTCCCTCTAAAAAATCTAGAAATCCTCTAGATGTTAATTTGTGATTATGTATCAATTTTAAGCAGTATATAACAAGCCCAATCAAACAATCAAGACAAATCGACACAATGATTTTACATGGAAAAACCACAATTGGACACCTCCAATTGTGATAAAAAATCACGAGCAACAGTCACAAAACAATCCACTAAGAAGATATAAAGGAATTACACAGGTATACTCTCAATTATCTAGTGAATCCATGTCCGAATTGAACCAATCTCTATGTGTCTCTTCTAACCCCGTCATCACCTCGGAATTGTCTTGACGATGAGCCACTCCGGAATCCACCAAAGCTTCAGGCTCAAATTCTTCAGAATCCACCGAAGAACACCTCTCTCTTTTGTGTAGAATAAACAAACAAACCTTTGATGTATGCTTCTTAAACCATGAGTTGAATATTCAATGAAAACATCAAAGAAAACTAGCAAAATATCCCCAGATATAAACCTTAGGATCCAAAAAGAAGATCTGGAGAAGTTATCTAAGTTTTGGGAGAAAACCAACTGCTTATAGAAAACCAAAGTAATCCTAGTTTTGGAATAAAACCAATTCCTTATAGAAATCCAAGAATCTGTGTTCGCGCGGTCCACTCGAGCGTGGGAATTTCCACTCGAATGGAGGCTTCAAAATTGTGTGATTCATATAGGCTTCACGCTCGAGTGGAAGTTTACACGCTCGAGTGTTGAATTATACCATCCAGTACTTTTTCAGGCGAAACAGAGATGCCGTGAGCTTGCAATCCCCGCTCGAGCGTCACTTTCCCCGCTCGAGTGGGACAACCAAAATTGGAAAATTGGGAAAACTTGAACCTCGGTTTTGATCCATGTAAATTGACAAAGGTACGATTTGGGTTGAATTCGCATCTAATAAACTCATAGCCTCACTGAAATAAAAGGTGCGAAAACAAATACAACTGAAAGGAGTTTTGTCAAACGGGGTTGCCAAGAATAAAACCTAACAATCTCCCCCTTTGGCAATGCCGTGACAAAACACATCTAACAAATAAAATCCTAAACACCCAACCCATTACAGCCAACAAAACCCAATTTCTTTCTCAAGGTCATGATCTGCAAAACAGTTATTAGTGCCACAATCTCCAAAACAACTATTAGTCCCACAAGAGTATATGAAAAAGCAATAGACATTTGACACGATTATCTTGAAACATGAGATGGAAAACATGAATAGATGAAAACTAAGACTCATGAAAAACAACTCTCATACAACAAAAGCAAGATCATAAACCAACCAAAGTCAAGATGAACCAAACTTCCCCTCACTAAACGTAACCACAAACACTGAAAAATAGTGAACAAGAAGAAAACGAAAAAAATAATATGGTGGAGCAAGCAAGGAATTTCAGATTTGTACCTTAAAATACACAAGATTATCCAAGAAGCACAATTACTAGTAAACACAATGTGCACAGTCTGTAGAAAATTCCTCATGAAAGAAAGTGATGCATTATGTGAAAAGCATAGATCCCATGAGAAAAGTGTGTGTGTGACTCTTGAAGTTCGACAAACACTAGATTCAATCCTAGTAGTGATATGGAAGTTAGACCTCCGACAAGAGAATCTAAGCACGACAAAGGAAAGTCAAACCACTAGGAATCAACGGGTATTTGGTGAGTAAAGGCGGAGGCTCCCCCTCAATCAATGAATTTTTTCTCTTTTTTTTTTAATTTCTTTTGCACATTTTTTCTTTCTTTTGCATATTTTTTCTTCTTCTCTTTCTTTTTCTTTTTCTTTTTCTTTTTCTTTTTCTTTTGCACACTCATTGGCGGCTAACACGCTCAAGAGTATGGGAACCGAACCAGAGAAGCATGGATATAATAAGGATGGCCTGGTTAGTGACTCCGAGGTAGCCTTTTCTCATGGCTAGACTACAAAGAATTAAGGGGAAAGCCGTGGAGGTGCAAAAAGATGGAAGGTGGTTAAGAGACTCAACATCACCCATGATATGCTAGTATAGGTCAATTCCTCTAGAAAGGCAAAAGATCAATGATAGAAGTCCATAGAGAAAAAATCCCTAAGGCAGAAGACTCCAAAATTTGCTAATCCAAGAGTGTGTACAGAATGAGACATACTAATCAAAAAACACACACTCCAAAACGAGTAATAACCATAGAAAGCACACATATATTAACATGTAATGGATATTCTCATCAATTCCAATATGCACTAAGGACCACTCAAAAATTTCAAGCTTGCAAAACCATACTAAGAAAATCTTTTTGGGTTTTTTATTTTATTTTATTTATTTATTTTTTTTTAACCAAAGCAAGACAAAAAACGAACAAACACACATGTAATGACAAAAAAAAAAAACACAGAAACCCAAAAACTAAAATGACAAAACAAATTAACACAAGTCAAGTTTTCTCACCCAAACTGCTTTAGTATGAACAAAATTGTGAGAATTACAGTTCTTGGGTGTGTCTTGACGTTGTGGTTCCTTTCTCCTGCAATGGGAACCCGTCTCGACTTGGCTTCCAACTTCTAATTTTTAGGTCTAGGCAAATACACTCTCCCATGCAACTTATAACAATAAGGGCAAATATGACCATGCATACCACAATGATAACAAATAAAAACAGGGTGTACCTTCTTTTCTTTTACCTTACCAACTCTAAGAAGTTTGAGAAGTCCATCCTTATGTTGAAATTTTTGTTCTCCCTTTCCTTGAGTTCTTGTATCATGAGATGTAGATGCACTCTGTTTTTGCTCTTTGTTATCACCAAAGCCAATGCCACTCTTGTCTGAACAAATTTGTTGAGACCCAATAATATTGTCCAAAGTCTTTGATCCTCTATTCCAAAGACCAATGGTAGCCATAGCACACTTGAGTTCTTCCTCTTTCTTGATCATTAGTTCTTTCAAAGCAACTTGAGACATCTCGAGAGTTTCAATTTTTTCTTCATATGTTGCATAGATTTGCTGAAGCTCATTCCTCTCTGTCTCACAAGTCAAGAGTTTTGCACATAGAGCTTGTCGATCATTAGCTATCTTGATGGCATCAAGGCTAGCCTCAGAAATCTCCTCCTTTAGTTTGACATTCTCACTTTCACATGCTGTGAGTTTCATAGTGAGTTTGTCATTCAACTTGGATAACTTAAGAGATTCCTTATACAACTTTTCATAAGCTTGCTCAAGCTCTTCATCATCACTTCCCGAGGATTCATCATCAGTGGTATTCTCAACCGGGCTCTTCGGATACTCTGTTCGTCTTTCAGTTTCAGAAGCCACCATGAAAGCAAGGAATTGTTTATGTCCCTCTTCACCTTGATCTTCATTGTCACTTTCATCTTCATCAGATTCTGATTCATCATCCCAAGTGATAGCAAGGGCTTTCTTCTTCCTCAAACGAGTAGGGCATTCTGAAGCAAAGTGGTCAAATCCTTGGCATTCATAGCATTGGACTCTTTCAGAGTTCCCTTGTATCTTTCCTTTCTCCTTCTTGGCTATAGAATTAATTTTGAGTTTACCTTTGCCTTTAAATTTATGAGTATGAGTAGATTCCAAAAGATTAGGATTCTTTTTCAAAAAGGATTTTTTAAATTGTTTAACAAAAGCAGCCGTAATCTTGGAATCTATCTCACAATCCTCATCAGAATCCTCTCCAACTCTATGAGCACTACTAAAAGCAATATCTTTTTGTTTCTTTTTGAAGTTCCTATGTGCCTCATAAGTTTGGAGATTTCCAACCAACTGATCCAGCTTGAGGTTGTCAACATCTTCAGCCTCCTTAATAGCCGTAACTTTTGGTTGGAACCGATCGGGTAAGGATCTTAAAATTTTTCCCACAACTTTGGATTCTGGTATTTTATCACCTAAATTGAAGTTGAAATTTACAATGTCACTCAACTTCGCATAAAATTCATCAAAGGTCTCACTATCTTTCATTGAAAGGTTTTCGTGACACGCTCAAGAGTATGGAAACCGAACGAACTGCTGCTGCTGTTGCTGATGTTGTGAGATTGGAGCATACTTGGGGCCATATCCCAAGCCTCTTTTGCAACTTCACAATTGTAAATACGACTAAACTCTTCAGGTGTGACAGCGCAAAAGAGAGAATTGATAGCTTTACTATTCCAGCAACTATTTTGGTAATCAATTGTGTCCCACTTTTTAATTGGTTTGGGGAATGTTACACCAACAATGATAATTGTTGGTTCGGTCCACCCATTCATGACAAATTGCCAAACTTTTTCATCTATTGATTTCAAAAACGATCTCATCCGAGCTTTCCAAAAAGAATAATTGGATCCGTCAAGTAGGGGTGGTCGAACCATAGAATTTCCTTCACGAATTGTATCCATTATCACAAATCAAACAAGATCTCGTTCTAAAAGAATTTTTTAATTTTAAAAAAAACTTTGTAGCTCAAAAAATTTGGCCCGAAAGTGTCTCAAATATCCAAAATGACGTCGTTTTGGATATTCTTTTTTTTTTTTTTGCCTTTTTCTTGCTTTTGAATACAAATTGAGAGAAGAGAAGAGGCGAGAGAGAAGAAGGAGAAAAGATGGAGATGGCGGTGATGGCGGAGGAGAAATAGAAATCCCCTAGATGTTGATTTGTGATTATGTATCAATTTTAAGCAATAAAACAATCCCAATCAAACAATCAAGACAAATCGACACAACAATTTTACGTGGAAAAACCACGATTTGACACCTCCAATTGTGATAAAAAACCACGGGCAACAGCCACAAAACAATCCACTAAGAAGATATAAAGGAATTACACAGGTATACTCTCAATTACCTAGCGAATCCACGCCCGAATTGAACCAACCTCTATGTGTCTCTTCTAACCCCGTCTTCACCTCAGAATTGTCTTGACGATGAGCCACTCTGGAATCCACCAAAACTTCAGGCTCAAATTCTTCAGAATCCACCGAAAAACAACTCTCTCTTTTGTGTAGAATAAACAAACAAACCTTTGATGTATGCTTCTTAAACCATGAGTTGAATACTCAATGAAAACATCAAAGAAAACTAGCAAAATATCCCCAGATATAAACCTTAGGATCCAAAAAGAAGATCTGGAAAAGTTATCTAAGTTTTGGGAGAAAACCAACTACCTATAGAAAACCAAAGTAATCCTAGTTTTGGAATAAAACCAATTCCTTATAGAAATCCAAGAATCTGTGTTCGCACGGTCCACTCGAGCATGGGAATTCCCACTCGAGCAGAGGCTTCAAAATTGTGTGATTCATATAGGCTTCACGCTCGAGCGGAAGTTTACACGCTCAAGCATCGAATCACACTATCCAGTACTTTTTCAGGCGAAACAGAGATGCAGTGAGCTTACAATCCCCGTTCGAGCGTCACTTTCCCAGCTCAAGCGGGACGACCAAAATTGGAAATCGGGAAAACTTGATCCTATTACAACCTCGGTTTTGATTCATGAAAATTGACAAAGGCACGATTCGGGTTAGATTTGCATCTAATAAACTCATAGCCTCACTAAAATAAAAGGTGGGAAAACAAATACAACTGAAAGGAGTTTTGTCAAACGGGGTTGCTAAGAATAAAACCTAACACCCTCAGACAAGCTTCCTGCTTGCACTTTGACTGTGGGCTATATGCATGTTTTCTTATACATTAATATACAATATGGAGTACATTTAAATGTGGTTTTTCTCCCACCTTTTTACTTTCCTGTTCTCTCTCCCCCTTCTTGTTCATGATCTTGGCACTTGGTTCCACGCCTTTGAGTAATTATATATGTTTTTGTTATAATTATGTGGTCTCATTTTATTCCATAATGATTTCAGTGATTATCTTATTATTTTATATCTATCCTTCCACCTGACATTGGAAAGGAAGAGTACAGTTCACATGAATCCTTCAAATTTTCAGGTGTACAATCAACCCAGGTGAGAATAAAGCACTGGTCCGATATGCTTTGGATACATATAAGTTTCTTTCATTGGCAGTACAGGTTGGACAACAAGTTTTAAGTTTCATATACAGTTCCATTTTCCAGATGGTTTGATTCATCCCAATTTAACTGCATTTAAAAAAAGAAGAAGTTATTTATGGTAAAGGTATCATCTACTTCAGATTTCGAACATAAATGCTATTGTTCTATCTTTATGCTTGAACACGTACCTCATTCAAGGAAAAAAAATTGAAAAACTAAAAAGTAACTGTTATGTAGAAGTATAGGTCATCAGATAAGTAGGAACTTAGTGTGTAATAGTTCTAGTTATAACAAAATTTAGGAATACCTTGAAGTAATCTTTTGAAAGTTCAGAACATGTTAATATATATATATATATATATATAATATAAACACCTGTAAATGTATAATAACATTTGTGATTGTGTTTTGTGTGATTTGGTGGAGAAATTTGTTACTTTTCTTTCTCGTGGGCTTTGGTTTCAGGATTCCTTTATTTTTGATCTCTGGAGATTAGAAAGTCTAGTAGTATGTTATGTATTTTGATGTTGTTGCTTTTGGTGGACTTTGTGTCCCTATTTAACTTTTTGATTTATATCAATAATTTTGTTTTGTTGCCAATCAAGAAAATTTTAAAAAAAATTATGTGCTCTTTCTTGACCACCAAACAGTTTTGGGGGGAATAAGTATAGCTTCCACAGAAGTTCCTTACATTAAATGTTAAGAAATTTCAAAGCCTCTTAGATCTAAATTAATTTCACTCATTTAATCTTATAGTATAGAAGTGAATTAATGGTAAAATTAAATCCAAATACGCAAGTAATAGTGTGTGCAATCGTATGGTCAATTATTTTATTGCTTTCTACAAGGGTCCATAAACAGTAAAATATGTACTTATTATTTGCACTTTTGTTCCTCTTTTAGTTGTAGTGAACACTACACTACCTATATTTAGTATATTTAGTATGGCACTGAATTGTTATTGTTGAGGTACTTGTTAAAAACTCTTTAGATTTAGTTATGATATTTCAAGCCATGCAGTCTGATTTTTTATTTCATTTCAGCACCCAAAAATTGGAGGACCTGGTCTTCTTGGTGGTTGTGAACTATCTAACGGATACATTGAGTATGTTCTCTTGTCCTCTAGTCATATCCTATATATTTATTCTGCAATCTGCCATACTCTTATGTAAATATATGTTTTAAGCTATTGGATTCATGTAGAACATTGTCATTGCTGCTAATAATACAAAATTTGCCCATGCACTTTTCCCTCATTTGATTGACAAATGAAAATTGGGAGACTATTATATGTTTCTTTGATACTTCTCATCTATTCCTTCAAATATTATTTAATTGATAAATGAAAATTGGAAAACTCCCTTACTTTCTTTGAAACTTGGATGAATTTTTAATCTTATTTGCCTCTCCAATTTCTGTCTGGTATTGCACAATGGAAGCTCAAATGTAATCTCACTTTTGCAATCACGATCGTACTCGTGAAAAGTGGTGTAACGTCGATAAATGAAAGTATTTCCTACTGACACTAAAAATCTGTATTAAACTCAATGCCAATAAGAGATGATGATGCCTTTCGTGAAAAATAAATCACTAAGATCATTGCTTTTGACACAACTTGTTAAAAGCATAATGATAATGATATGATACAGTTTATTTGTTGGGAGTTTAAGGAACCAGTTTGCAGAGGTGCCAGATACTTCCCAATACCATCACACTGAATGAGGCCATTATTGCAACCGATGATGCATTTGAAACCATGATCTTATGTTTATTACATGTTCTGTCTTTTAGAGTTTCTTGAGAATGGGCAACCAATGATTGCGATGAATGGAGTAAAGAGCTGGTGACTTATTTTGATGTTTGGTTTTGTCAGGGAATGGTTAAGACCTAGTGAAGAAGATCTTGTTCAGAGATTTGATCCGTCATCTCCACTTGATACAATTGGATTCTTCATAGCCAAGTTTAATGTTGGCCCGAAAGGTACCTGACTTTTCTTAGAAAATATGTGACTTTGGCATGGGTACCAGTAATTTTAACCAATGCAGCTCCTCTAGGGAAATCATTGTCCAAGATTTTTTTTTTTTTTTTTAAATTTAAAAAAAAGGGGCCTCTAAGGTGTCAATTTTTACCCTTAACAAGATTTCAGTGGAACATCTTGTTAGGTGGTATACGACATGGATTATTCAGAATATTCTCTCAATTCATACATCACAAACGGGTATGTAAAATATAGAAACTAATTTTTTTGTACAATTTTCATCTCCAAGTGCAATGTGTGCATGATGGTGGAATTATAAAGATCATAACCTCTATTGAATAGACTGAAATGCTTCTTGTTCTTAACCACTGTAAGCTTTCTGTGGTGTGATTTTCTCTTAGGATTTGAAATGTTTTTGCTTGTGTTCTATGTTCCTGACACATCAATAGTGACATTTGCTTGGATTATGCTTCATGCCTTCGGATCCTCTAGAGTTTTTTTTCCTGAAGTGATCTCTAGAGTGGTTCAATGTGGTGCAACACCTATCCCACTTGAGTAACCAAGGGCTGAGATCAATTCCTCTTAAAAACGACGTCGTTTTGGTAATGAAATTCAAAAAAAAAAAAAAACCTTCCTTCAGTTTCAGTTTTAGAACGAAATTGTAAGTGAGAGAGAGAGGAGAAGGAGGAGGAGGAGAGAGAGGAGGGGTTGAGCAGGAAACCAAGAGTTTACCGCCAAAAGCAGTACAAAATGAAAGCCCAAATCTTGATTTTGGTTGGACAGTAATTAAAAAAATAAATTGATGACCCAATTTTTCTGTGGATTTGATTTCAATTTTTCAAATCTGGGTTTGATGTCAAAAAAATTGATGACTCAATTTATTTTTGTTTGAAACATAAAATGAAAAGCAATTAATCTGGCCCCTTTCCACCTCTTTCTCTTCTTCCTCTTCCTTCTTTTTTCCTTCTCATGCCGCCGGCCGGCTGCCGCTCCTCTTCTTGCCTCCAACTTAGCTTGCAATCCAAAACCTCGAAAGTATTACAAAAACATAAACACAAAGGCCAACATAACTCACAACTTTTGAACTGTATATCAAGATTTACAACAAGAAAAACATAGAACCCAAAGAACATTTCAACCAATCGAAACAATAAACAACCCAACTATAGATTCAAGAAAGAACAAAATAAATAAATAAATAGAATAGGTTTATTCCAAGGAAAATGGATGTGTATACCAAGATCAGACTTGCTAACCCACCAAATCAAGATCCATGGATTTATTAGATCTTCATTTTCTCCCTAAAAACTAAAACCCATGGAAGAAACCAATCGAAACAACACCTCCAAAATCTAAGAAACCAAACAAATCAAGAACACCAATACCTATGAGTCCTTCTCAGATGAAGAACATGAAAAAGAAAAAAAAGAAGATGAGAGAGAAGAGAGGAAGGTGGAGAGAAGGGGGCGACAGTGGGTGGTGTGGGTTTGGGCGATGGTAAGAAAAGGAGGAGAAAATGTTGTTAGAAATGGGTGGTGGGCAATTTGGAAATCTGCAACTTAGATTTTTTTTTTTGGTCCCGTATACCCCACCAAAACGACGTCGTTTTGGTGGGTGATTGATCTCAGCCATTAGCTCTGTTAGTGGGACAGATGTCGCGCTATAAAGCATCACTCTAGAGATCACTTCAGGAAAAAAAACTCTAGAGGATCCGAACGCATGCTTCATAGCGACTCTACGTCAGTTTTCTTCTTTCACAAATCCAAGATCCAAATAAAGCCTAAAGAGAAGTTGTCATCACTTGGTGGGTTGATCACTTGGGTTGATCACCTTCTTCCTTTAGAATTCTATTGATTGTAGAAACATCCAACCTTGCTAATGCTTGCTTCACCAAGTTGACCAGCCTCTCCGCTTCCTGCACGACTTTCTCTTCCTCTGCCATCGCCACCTTCAATCTCTACTCTTGTGCTTTCACTGAAAACGTGCTCATATCCGACAACATCTCTTCATTCTTTCCCCACTTAGTACTGCTACTGCCTTTGATATCAAGCCCAGAAACATCATCACCACCCTTTCTCTTCTTTTTGTTGGAAAAGCAAAAGCAAAAAAAGCTTGATCTTTCGCTCATTTGATTTGAGCTCTCGCAATATTGAAGAACAAACCTCAAATTGATCCAACTGTTTCACGCCAAAGGGTTTGAGAGGAGATGGGTTGATTCCTAGTCTATGGTTTTGCGTGTCAACTAGTCACCATGTCATCATTGCATTATCTTTAACCTTAGAAAATTAATTAGTGCTGAGTTATTGGGACCCATTAGCATTGTTTGTTACCAAAAGATTGAATTATGTGATGACCATAGTTGTTGGTGTGTAAACATCAAGCTGGTGGTGGGACAAGCATACTTTTGCAATTTAATTAATTGCTTCTTTATTTGTATTATTTGATTTTTAATTATAATTGTAATAACCCGACCCTCGCATGTGTTTCCGGTATATTTCCAGTCCCTCATTCTGTACATTTAAATGTTTACTATGGAATTTTATGTGACTTTATGTTTAAGCAAATAAATCTTATGATTTGAGACCTATATCTGTTTAATAAGAAAAACATCTGTCACAATTATAATGGTTGGATCAGAAATTGAGAGCCTTAGAGGCTTAATAATCTGAAATTGATTATTAATTTGAGGTCTGCATAAATTTTAAGTCATAATAAGCATTTTTATAAAAATGTGATTTAGGATGATTAAACTGATTGAATTTTGTCTTTATTCAACCTTTATATATATATATATATATATATGTATCTATAAGTGCCTCTTTGAACATTTTTTTTGTTTTGATTGAGAAGTCTTTGCATCAAAATATCTCCTGAGAGGAGAGGGAGAGAGTTAGAGAAGAGGAGAGTTGGGAGGTAGAAGAGAAACCTAGCAAAAGTGGAAGATTGGGTGAATTAAGAGGATCTATTGAGATTTTAAGCTCAACGTACGTATCCTTTATTTTGCTAAGCCTCTTGGCAATTGATTGAGAAATTCTCTACAATATTCAAGTTGTGTTTATAATGGAAATCAAGAGTGTTTGTGTAACTGTGTTTGTGGTTGTATTGGTAGTCCCAAACTTGTGATATTGTTCTTCCTCTCTTGATTTTACTTGTTATGTGGGGTTATCCACACACCTAGATGATGATCTATATGTCTAAGTGGGTAGTTGAGATCAAGTATAATTTAATTATGGAAAGAATGGGTTGGGCATGTGTAATTGGAAATGGTAATCTTAAATGCATTTTTGATGCATGTTGTGATGTTATTGAACCATTATAGTACACCAAATTTGCTTGGTTTGAGCCTTGCCATAAGTGTATCAAGGGAGGGTTTTTGCTGAATTTCGAACAGAAACTGTGTAGAATCGCCGCACGTGCGGGAGTCATGGCCGCACGTGCGGGAACCCCAGCCGTACGTGCGGGAGTCATGGCCGCAGATGCAGGGAAATGGTGAAATTTGGGACTTCAATTACTGCTTAAAAGGCATGTGTGGGCTTCCCAACCGCACGTCCGGGACCAACCGCCGCACGTGCGGGGCTCACTGCCACACGTGCGGACCAAGCTGAAAAATGCTGTCTGCTCCATTTGATCTGTTTGACCCTCTGGGATGGTTAAAAATAGTATTTGAAATCTTTAAAATGCTTCTTAATTTACTGGAAGTTATCGAATGAAATGTGAAGTTAGGAAGGAATTGGACTAACTTGTGAGCTATGTATGTGTGCAGGACACACTCCGGGAGGGACTATTACTCTGCCACAACACTGTGAGTAGTAGTACTGTAATCGTATGTTTAGTACCATTAATGATTCTTATTATTAATGCTCTGCTCTGTGCAAGTAATTACGTTAACGTTTATGTTGTTTGGAAATCGGTGAGGATGTTGGAAAACTCTGTGTACATTGGCATGACTCTGGAACTACCCTGCATTCTGGTTACGGTTAATAGTTAGCATTAATGTGCTATAACCTTTAAGTTACCTATGGCTCTGCATAAGAAATTACATACGAAGTATTAATACTGTGCCATTAGTTGACGGGAAGGAATTAAGAATGTAAACCCCACTCACCGAGAACATGAGATTCTGAAGGTCCTATCAGGGACTTCTATAGACTGTATGATGCAATACCCATCTTAGGACATAGATATCTGCCTAATATGTTCATCAGAAATAATAATCAAATAAAACTACAGGTTGCTTTATACGTTAATGACTGTTGAGGAACTAGGATCCATGTGAGACACGTCTTGAGTCCATATATAATAACCCGACCCTCGTATCTGTTTCTGGAATATTTTCAATCCCTTATTCTGAGCATTTAAATGCTTACGGTGAAATTTTATGTGAAATTGAATTTAATTCAGTGAATCCTATGGTTATGGATGCATATCTATTTAATAAGAAGAAAATCTGTCACAATTATAATATTTGAATCAAAAATTGGAAGCCTCAGAGACTTAATTATCTGAAATTGATTTTACATTTGGGATCGGCATAATTTTTAAGTCATAATATGATTTTCTGTGAAATTTCAATTTAGAATCATTAAACTGATTAAATTTTGTCTTATTCACTTTTTATATATAAGTGCCAATGCTTCTTATACATGGACTTGGGAAAACCATCACTCAAAAATATTTCCTAGAGAGAAAAATTAGAGAAGAAGAGGGTTGAAGGGAAGGGAAGAAGATTGGGGAAATTGAGAGGCTTGGTAGGGAATTGAATCAAGGTATGTAAACACCATCTTAAATTAAGCTCTCTCTTGGGTTTGAGTGAGTTTGCTCTTCTAATTGGGATTGCTAGAGGTTATGTTGAAGTTTTATAGAAGATGATTGTCTAATTGGGAAATTATGCTTATCATGTAGTTGTTTTGGAAATTAATTTGAGTTATGGAGAAATTACACCTTGCTTCCTTGTTAATCTCATGTAGATACTCATCTATGTGGTTGGATTATATGGTTACATATGTGTGTGTGTGTGTGTGTGTGTGTGTAAGAAAGTTAGAAATTCCATGGAATTGGATTGTGATTGATTCATGAATTCAAAGTGATTAAGAACCTAAGTTGATTTATGAT